AGCACGTCGGAAACTGAGAATTGGTTGCGATAAACCTCCCATTGCCAAAATCACTCACATCAGCGTCACCTCAATGTTGTCACAGCATACATCTTCTGCCAAGTGACAATCCCCATTCTCGGATCCTTAAAAGCTGATATGGTCAGTAGACATCAAAATCATGATTGTATCAGAGGCTCAAGATTTGTTAAAGCATGCGAGGCACCGACATCCCTTATATAGGACTTTGTACTGATCTTTTGACAAAATGGTTGTCCCATTGCATCCTCGTTCAACCTGCACCATGCTTCAGATTTTGAAAGCAGTGCATCCAAGGATCGCTTGAACTTCGGAGGGTTTCAGAACCTCTCTCAGCACCCACACCTGCACATGCCATAACTACCATTGTGGGCATATGGGAGTTCTCACTATGCATATTGTATGAATCATTCAGTACCCCTACATCACTTTGATTGCTTGATACCGAAGACCGCAAAAGATAGGTAAATATTCCTCTTGGATGGTTTGTCGCCCTTCCAAAAATCCTTTTCAGGATGCTAATTCTTCCTCCATGAACAAATATATTATATATGTTAAATTTATGTTCTAATATGTTTGATTCTTAAATTTCTTGACCCAGAAATCTTCAACGGATGCCATCCAGGTCTCTACTGCTCTCCCCTGCCTCTTGCTCAGGTCTCGCCCACGACAACGGCAGGGCGTCGATGCCCTTCGCCGTGCCACCGCAGGTGGCGCTGCAGAGCGGCGCGCAGAGCGAACGGCGCTCCAGCGGGCGTTCGATCTCCTGCAGGTGGTGGTGGGTGGAAATGCCTAGGGGAAATGGGGAGGAACCGTGGAAACAGAAGGAAACAAAAACAACTAAAACATACTAAAACAACCCCAAGCCGCAAGCTACATGCACCGGACAAAATATGGATTTGTCTGAGAATTGGGTATACGGTATATACCTCAAATTCTCATGGTTGTCATCATGTTGCCTCTTCGAAATTGCCATAAATTGCATGACCGGACTCTCCTCACAGAGCTTTCGCACACTGCTCTCAGAGATGTCATCGGCTCCAGCTAGCTGCCTCTTGGCCTGGAAAATCACCAAGTTCAAGAAGGAAATGTAAACTACAGCAACACTTCAAAGGATATAATATATAGTCAGGATTAATAAACCCCCCGAATTAGCGAATCCCCGTCCCTCCGAAAATTTTGGGGCAATACTAAAGTCCTCTACGTGCTGATTTCCCCCCCTAATAATAGATATGTACCCCCTAATTAGCGAATCCCCTCTGGGATCCCCATTTTTTTGGTGGCACTAATTTGCTATTACTCCCTTTTACTTTTTAATTCGGATTACAATTTCCAGGGTTACTTCCTATTTTGGTTTACCATAGGTATTCTTATCTTTTCTCACTGGAATCTGATGGTTTACCATTCATTTTCGAATCTTCCCTCATAGGAATTTGATGGTTTCTACGTGGTTTCCTCATCTTCCCTCAAAGGAATTTGATGGTTTACCAGAGGTTTTCTGATCATGTCTCATTGGAATTTTATGGTTTACCCTAGGTTTTCTTGTCTTTTCTCATAGGAATCTCATGGTTTACCATTCATTTTCGAATCTTCCCTCATAGGAATTTGATGGTTTCTACGTGGTTTCCTCATCTTCCCTCAAAGGAATTTGATGGTTTACCAAAGGTTTTCTGATCATGTCTCATTGGATTTTTGTATGGTTTACCATTAATTTTCGAATGTTTCCTCATAGGAATTTCATGGTTTCTACGTGGTTTCCTCATCTTCCCTCAAAGGAATTTGATTGTTTACCAGAAGTTTTCTGATCATGTCTCATTGGAATTTTATGGTTTACCCTAGGTTTTCTTATCTTTTCTCATAGGAATCTCATGGTTTACCATTCATTTTCGAATCTTCCCTCATAGGAATTTGATGGTTTCTACGTGGTTTCCTCATCTTCCCTCAAAGGATTTTGATGGTTAACCATAGGTTTTCTCATCTTTTCTCAAAGGAATCTGATGGTTTACCATAGGTTTTCTCATCTTTTCTCATAGGAATCTCATGGTTTACCATTCATTTTCGAATCTTCCCTCATAGGAATCTGATGGTTTACCATAGGTTTGCTTATCTTTTCTCATAGGAATCTGATCTTTCCTCATCCACCTCGCAAGCATGCTCTTGCAACGTGGCACTTTTTTTACTACTGCTACTACTACTACTCCTCCTCCTCCTGCTGCTGCTGCTTCTTCTACTGCTGTTACTACTGCTACTACTACTACTACTGCTACTACTACTACTGCTACTGCTGCTACTGCTACTACGGCTACTACTTCTACGACGACGACGACGTAATTTGATATGCACATATACAAGTGGATCCGGATAAGCCACAACCAAAAAAAAAAGAGGGCATCTTGAAGGCACCCTCTATCAGTGCAAGGGCTGTGCTTTCAGGGGGTCGAAGCCGCACTATTGCCAAACACACTGGTTTCAGAGGTTTTTTGTGGGTTGGCTCATCACGTTGGGAAGAGGTGACTCTTTCATTGCAAGAGCTGTCCTTTCATTAGGTCGAAGCCGCGCTATTGCCAAACACACTGGTTTCAGAGGTTTTTTGTGGGTTGGCTCATCATGTTGGGAAGAGGTGACTCTCTTTCATTGCAAGAGCTGTGCTTTCATTAGGTCGAAGCCGCGCTAGTGCCAAACACACTGGTTTCAGAAGTTGACTTTTTATCGTTGCAAGAGCCTTTCGTGAGCTGGAGGCGACTACCAAAGGGTTGGGGAGGGTTATTTGGGGGGTTTTATTAATTGGGGGGGTTGTTTGGGGGTTTGGCTGCGGGTTTGGTTGGGGGGTTAGGGGGGTGTTGCGCATTGTGTTTTTGATTCCGGCAAACCCCTTCCAGGCCCAGTCAGTGGTTCTATAAAGCAATTTTTTGCCATTTAGGGCAAGCCCCCATGGCATAGTGGTATTGAATAGGCTTTGGGCCGATGGGCCCAGGTTCGATTCCCGGAGGGTGCGTCTTGCAGCCCGGGGGTGGCACACAGCGGCTTAGATTCCCGGAGGGTGCGTCTTGCAGCCCGGGGGTGGCACACAGCTGGCTTGAATGCTTGTGTGTTGTGCCTCTTTCTCTGCCAATGTCTTGCTGTTATGTTAGCTACCTTTGCCTGCTTCTGGACATTGCCTCTAATTACTTCCAGTGGCTTTCTTTCATTGCAAGAGCTGTGCTTTCCGTACGTCGAAGCCGCACTATTGCCAGCACACTGGTTTCAGAGATTTTTTGTGGGTTGGCTCATCATGTTGGGAAGAGGTGACTCTCTTTCATTGCAAGAGCGGTGCTTTCATTAGGTCGAAGCCGCGCTAATGCCAAACACACTGGTTTCAGAGGTTTTTTGTGCGTTGGCTCATCACGTTGGGAAGAGGTGACTCTCTTTCATTGCAAGAGCTGTGCTTTCATTAGGTCGAAGCCGCGCTATTGCCAAACACACTGGTTTCAGAGGTTTCTTGTGGGTTGGCTCATCATGTTGGGAAGAGGTGACTCTCTTTCATTGCAAGAGCTGTGCTTTCAGTAGGTCGAGCCGCACTATTGCCAAACAGACTGGTTTCAGATGTTTTTTGTGAAATTGCCATCAATTGGGCAATTAATTATTCAACAACTACATCAATATTACCTGATCTTTCCTCATCCACCTCGCAAGTATAATATACGTTTGCAATGTGGTAGTTTCAAGACGCCAAAACTGGAAAAAAAAAACGCATCCCCCAAATGATCGATTTCTAATTAAAATTTAATTAAAAAATGCTGTTTTTGGGAGCTCAGAAAGGCTACCCCCCTTGAGCGGTGTCCCCCCCACAAATAAAAGGACGCCCCCCCCAATTAGTAAACCCCAGCCAGCCGCGATGAGTTTTTTATATGCGTGCTTCAGACTGCAATCAATTAAGCAATGAATTAGTTCAACAACTATATCAACATTGCCTGATCTTTCCTCATCCACCTCGCAAGTATAATATACTTTTGCAATGTGGCTTTCAAGACGCCAAAACTGGAAAAAAAAACACATCCCCCAAATGATCGATTTCTAATTAAAATCTAATTAAAAAATGCTGTTTTTGGGAGCTCAGAAAGGCTACCCCCCTTGAGCGGTGTCCCCCCCACAAATAAAAGGACGCCCCCCCCAATTAGTAAACCCCAGCCAGCCGCGATGATTTTTTTTGTATGCGTGCTTCAGATTGCAATCAATTAAGCAATGAATTGGTTCAACAACTACATCAACATTGCCTGATCTTTCCTCATCCACCTCGCAAATATATTTTTGCAATGTGGCAATTTCAAGACGCCAAAACTGGAAAATAAAACGCATCCCCCAAATGATCGATTTCTAATTAAAATCTAATTAAAAAATGCTGTTTTTGGGAGCTCAGAAAGGCTACCCCCCTTGAGCGGTGTCCCCCCCACAAATAAAAGGACGCCCCCCCCAATTAGTAAACCCCAGCCAGCCGCGATGACTTTTTTATATGCGTGCTTCAGACTGCAATCAATTAAGCAATGAATTAGTTCAACAACTACATCAACATTGCCTGATCTTTCCTCATCCACCTCGCAAGTATAATATACTTTTGCAATGTGCCAGTTTCAAGACGCCAAAACTGGAAAAAAAAACGCATCCCCAAATGATCGATTTCTAATTAAAATCTAATTAAAAAATGCTGTTTCTGGGAGCTCAGAAAGGCTACCCCCCTTGAGCGGTGTCCCCCCCACAAATAAAAGGACGCCCCCCCCAATTAGTAAACCCCAGCCAGCCGCGATGATTTTTTTTTGTATGCGTGCTTCAGATTACAATCAATTAAGCAATGAATTGATTCAACAACTACATCAACATTGCCTGATCTTTCCTCATCCACCTCGCAAGTATAATATACTTTTGCAATGTGCCAGTTTCAAGACGCCAAAACTGGAAAAAAAAAACGCATCCCCCAAATGATCGATTTCTAATTAAAATTTAATTAAAAAATGCTGTTTTCGGGAGCTCAGAAAGGCTACCCCCCTTGAGCGGTGTCCCCCCCACAAATAAAAGGACGCCCCCCCCAATTAGTAAACCCCAGCCAGCCGCGATGAATTTTTTACATGCGTGCTTCAGACTGCAATCAATTAAGCAATGAATTAGTTCAACAACTATATCAACATTGCCTGATCTTTCCTCATCCACCTCGCAAGTATAATATACTTTTGCAATGTGCCAGTTTCAAGACGCCAAAACTGGAAAAAAAAACGCATCCCCCAAATGATCGATTTCTAATTAAAATTTAATTAAAAAATGCTGTTTTTGGGAGCTCAGAAAGGCTACCCCCCTTGAGCGGTGTCCCCCCCACAAATAAAAGGAGGCCCCCCCCCAATTAGTAAACCCCAGCCAGCCGCGATGACTTTTTTATATGCGTGCTTCAGACTGCAATCAATTCAGCAATGAATTAGTTCAACAACTATATCAACATTGCCTGATGTTTCCTCATCCACAAGTATAATATACTTTTGCAATGTGCCAGTTTCAAGACGCCAAAACTGGAAAAAAAAACGCATCCCCCAAATGATCGATTTCTAATTAAAATTTAATTAAAAAATGCTGTTTTTGGGAGCTCAGAAAGGCTACCCCCCTTGAGCGGTGTCCCCCCCACAAATAAAAGGACGCCCCCCGCAATTAGTAAACCCCAGCCAGCCGCGATGATTTTTTTTATATGCGTGCTTCAGACTGCAATCAATTAAGCAATGAATTAGTTCAACAACTATATCAACATTGCCTGATCTTTCCTCATCCACCTCGCAAATATGTTTTTGCAATGTGGCACTTTTTACTACTGCTACTACTACTGCTGCTAATACTACTGCTAATACTACTGCTACTACTACTACTACTGCTACTACTACCACTATCACTACTGCTGCTGCTACTTTTTCTGCTACTACTGCTACTACTGCTACTTCTTCCTCTTCTACTACTACTAATACTACTAATACTACTCATACTACTCATACTACTAAAACTACTAATAATTACTACTAATACTACAAAGTATTACAAAGTACTACAACAACTACTACTACTGCTACTACTACTACTGCTGCTACTACTACTACTACTACTACTACAACTATAACTACAACTACAACTACAACTACTACAACGACGACGTAATTTGATAGAAGGCACCCTCTATCAGTGCAAGGGCTGTGCTTTCAGTAGGTCGAAACCGCACTATTGCCAAACACACTGGTTTCAGAAGTTGTGGGTTGGCTCATCATGTTGGGAAGAGGTGGCCCTCTGTCATTGCAAGAGCTGTGCTTTCAGTATCGAAGCCGCGCTATTGCCAAACACACTGGTTTCAGAGGTTTTTTGTGGGTTGGCTCATCATGTTGGGAAGAGGTGGCCCTCTGTCATTGCAAGAGCTGTGCTTTCAGTATCGAAGCCGCGCTATTGCCAAACACACTGGTTTCAGAGGTTTTTTGTGGGTTGGCTCATCATGTTGGGAAGCGGTGTCTCTCTTTCATTGCAAATGCTGCGCTTTCAGTAGGTTGAAGCCGCACTATTGCCAAACACCTTGATTTCAGAGGTTTTTTGTATCATGATGATGGGAAAAAGTGACTTTTTTTATCGTTGCAAGAGCCTTTCGTGAGCTGGAGGCCACTACCAAAGGGTTGGGGAGGGTTATTTGGGGGGGTTTCATTAATTAGGGGGGGTTGTTTGATGTTGTTTGGGGGTTTGGCTGCGGGTTTGGTTGGGGGGTTAGGGGGGTGTTGCGCATTGTGTTTTTGATTCCGGCAAACCCCTTCCAGGCCCAGTCAGTGGTTCTATAAAGCCATTTTTTGCCATTTAGGGCAAGCCCCCGTGGCATAGTGGTATTGAATAGGCTTTGGGCCGATGGACCTAGGTTCGATTCCCGGAGGGTGCGTCTTGCAGCCCGGGGGTGGCACACAGCGGCTTAGATTCCCGGAGGGTGCGTCTTGCAGCCCGGGGGTGGCACACAGCGGCTTAGATTCCCGGAGGGTGCGTCTTGCAGCCCGGGGGTGGCACACAGCTGGCTTGAATGCTTGTGTTTTGTGCGTCTTTCTCTGCCAATGTCTTGCTGTTATGTTAGCTACCTTTGCCTGCTTCTGGACATTGCCTCTAATTACTTCACGGTGGCTTTCTTTCATTGCCAGAGTTGTGCTTTCCGCACGTCGAAGCCGCACTATTGCCAGCACACTGGTTTCAGAGGTTTTTTGTGGGTTGGCTCATCATGTTGGGAAGAGGTGACTCTCTTTCATTGCAAGAGCTGTGCTTTCATTAGGTCGAAGCCGCGCTAATGCCAAACGCACTGGTTTCAGAAGTTTTTTGTGGGTTGGCTCATCATGTTGGGAAGAGGTGGCCCTCTGTCATTGCAAGAGCTGTGCTTTCAGTATCGAAGCCGCGCTAATGCCAAACACACTGGTTTCAGAGGTTTTTTGTGGGTTGGCTCATCATGTTGGGAAGAGGTGACTCTCTTTCATTGCAAGAACTGTGCTTTCATTAGGTCGAAGCCACGCTATTGCCAAACACACTGGTTTCAGAGGTTTTTTGTAGGTTGGCTCATCATGTTGGGAAGAGGTGGCCCTCTTTCATTGCAAGAGCTGTGCTTTCAGTAGGTCGAAGCCGCACTATTGCCAAACACACTGGTTTCAAAGGTTTTTTGGCTCATGATGATGGGAAAAGTTGACTTTTTATCGTTGCAAGAGCCTTTCGTGAGCTGGATAAACCTATGATAAACCATCAGATTCCTATGAGAAAAGATGAGAAAACCTATGATAAACCATCAGATTCCTATGAGAAAAGATGAGAAAACCTATGATAAACCATCAGATTCCTATGAGAAAAGATGAGAAAATCTATGATAAACCATCAGATTCCTATGAGAAAAGATGAGAAAACCTATGGTAAACCATCAGATTCCGATGAGAAAAGATGAGAAAACCTATGATAAACCATCAGATTCCTATGAGAAAAGATGAGAAAACCTATGATAAACCATCAGATTCCTATGAGAAAAAATGAGATAACCTATGATAAACCATCAGATTCCTATGAGAAAAGATGAGAAAACCTATGATAAACCATCAGATTCCTATGAGAAAAGATGAGAAAACCTATGATAAACCATCAGATTCCTATGAGAAAAGATGAGAAAACCTATGATAAACCATCAGATTCCTATGAGAAAAGATGAGAAACCTATGATAAACCATCAGATTCCTATGAGAAAAGATGAGAAAACCTATGATAAACCATCAGATTCCTATGAGAAAAGATGAGAAAACCTATGATAAACCATCAGATTCCTATGAGAAAAGATGAGAAAACCTATGATAACCATCAGATTCCTAATGAGAAAAGCTGAGAAAACCTTGATAACACCATCATATTCCTATGAGAAAATATAAGAAAAACCTATGATAAACCATCAGATTCCTATTAGAAAATATGAAGAAAACCTATGATTAACATCAGATTCCTAATGCGAAAATATGAGAAACCATGATAAACCATCAATTCCTATGAGAAAAGATGAGAAAACCTATGATAAACCATCAGATTCCTTATGAAGAAAAGATGAGAAAACCTATGATAAACCATAGATTCCTATGAGAAGATGAGAAAAACCCGTCTGATAAACCATCAAATTCCTAGGAAAAAGATAGAAAACCATGATAAAACATCAATATTCCTATGGAAAGATGAGAAAACCTATTGATAAACCATCAGATTCCTTGAGAAAAGATCAAAACCTATGAAACACCATCAGATTCCTAATGAGAAAAGATCAGAAACCTATGATAACCCCAAATGCCTATAGAACCCCATAGGAATCTGATGGTTTATCATAGGTTTTCTTACCTTTTCTCATAGGAATCTGATGGTTTATCATTAATTTTCTAATGTTTCCCCATAGGAATTTGATTGTTTACCATAGGTTTTCCAATCTTTTCCCATAGGAATCTTATAATAATCGTTTATGGATGAATGAATGGTCACATTATTTGGGGGGTTCGGTTTTTGGACCTCCTCACTGGACCTTGTTGACCTAGTTGACCTATAGGGGGGGGGGGGGTTATTAATCCGGGGTAAACATTATATGCTAATATAGATAAGAACATATCATGTACACGTTTTTCTCAAGACACACACACATATATATATATATATTTTATTATATAGTGAAATCTACTCAACCAAAGTTTACCCAGGGGGTTGAAAGCCTGGTAGTTTTGAAGCACGAGACTGGGGCTTGAGATGCTAAAGCCATGCGCAATAATGTTTCGGAACCAACCCCAAAGAGAGTGATTGAGAAGTGATCGAGAAGTGATCAAGAGCTCTTGAAATGGGTGCCCCACAACTGAAGAACCGCTTGGAGTCATTCATCCCGGTCTTTCATCCACATTTGCAGTCGGGAGCACCAAAATTCAATCAGAAACCTCATCAACAAATCCTTATTTGCGGCTTGGTATCCCATTTGCTCCGAAGTTCTTATTTTTCCAAACTTATTATCCCATTTTTTCATCATTATACCACATTATCTGGGTAAATTATAGTATTTCACTAACCTGAATTAAGGCCATTTGGGGATGATTTCCCTTACTAACCATGATTCTAGTGAGGGAGAACAGGCTTCGGTCGTGATGAAATTTATCCAGATTTTTTTTGTTGGGATAGAATTGGCTTAGAATTTACCCAGATACCCTCTGGTAATTTAACATAGCTATTGAAAATGGCCATTTATAGTGGATTTACCCATTAAACATTGTGATTTTCCATAGCTATGTTAGTTTACCAGAGGGTAATTCCAAATGTACTTCTTTATCCGAAGTCCTTCCTCCCATTGTTTCACCAGCGGTACCTTCACCAAGTTCCCGGTTTCCACCAGCGTCACCGGGCAGAAGTTTGAGAGCTCGGCCCTCGCCTCCGCCTGCCGCGGAAGACAATGAGGGATCACCAAGTCACCATAGGTTTCAATATGACATAATTTCAATGGATTGGTTTAAGGGAAAATTTACAGGAAAACCCTATATTTAATGGGAAAATCTATGGTTTCCTGTAGATTTTCCCTTAAACCAATCCATTGATAATTGGGTTTATAATTAGTGATTATGATTTTGATTATAATATTTTGGGGGATAATATGTTCGTATACTATATCATATACTATATCATACTATTCTCCCAATATGAATATCTGTAGTCATATTTGAAATAGGTTTAACAATAATCCCATCACCCTAATATTAAACACCCCATAAATGGTCCCAATTATGTGGAAATTCCCTACTAGACCATGGTTTCCAAGGGGGTGTTTAATATTAGGGGGAAGGGACTATTTAAATGGTCTAATATTTTTTGGATGATTTGGTAACCCCAAATCAAAGGAAACCTCCATATACTACCATGAACTGGGATATAGGTATGGAAATCCTGTTCACCAGGCCGTTTGGATTAAGAAAAAAGAGACATATTTTAACGCAATGGGAGAGGGTATTTTTTCCACATGTAAAACCGTTCAGATCTGGAGATTCACTGGTAGCCTTGAAAGAGTGGAGGGCTTATGTATCACCGGAAGAAGCCGGCTGATGCCGATGGTGGAGCGTCGTAACAAATGCCGCACCAAGACCGGCTGACTGGCACCATGACTGCTCCGCTAGCACCATGATTTCCAGCACCAGCCACTTTCTCACCCCACATTGAAATGCGGCCTCAGAAATCTGGGAACTCCAACACTCATTTGTTTAAAAGGTGATCTGTGAAGAAAAATCAGTTCCATGGTTACCTGGTTTCAGTCCCATTTCAGCGGCTTCAAGCACCATCCTCGTTCATGAATTTCAATCTAAGTATTGAATAATGTATCAATTATATCTATAAAACATAGTGATATAATTATATATGTATTATACATATAATAAAGTCTTAAGTCTTAAGTATATAGATTCATCATATAATAAAATCTTAACTATAAGAATTGTCATTATATAGTTGATATGACGGCATTATAAAATGAGGCTCTTTTTTCCCCAAAGAAACGCCTGCCTTCCGCGCCCGTTCGCCATCGTCCAAGAGTCGCGGAAGCTGTGGCAGAGGCACTTGCAAGAAGGCCTGAACACGGGAGTTCATGGAGGTGAACTAACCAACAAACAGAACTGGGAACCACATGGGGGTTTCCTAAAATTGGGGTACCCCCAAATCATCCCAGTCATTAGACCATTTTAGTATTGAAACCTATGGTTTTGGATATCCCCCATTTTGGGAAACCCCCACATTCATTGTACAAAGTGGGCCCCCCCAGTCGATAGCGTTCAGTTGCCTGAAAAAAGTGGCTGAATTTACTGTGGTAGATTGGTAGATATAACGAACTAGTTAATGGATGTTAATGGGGTTTATAAACTAACAAGCATAAGTGGGAACCACATTGTAGTATGTGTATGTTGTCAAGGGGATCCCCAACAACCAGCAGATTGAGATAAGTCATGAGTCAATTGTAACAAAGAATTCCATTTTTTGGGGGGTCCCGGGGTCCATCGTTTTAAGACACCCTCTATAGCCCTTAGACAATGACACAAATTGGATGCTAAAAATGAACCATGGGCTTCCTGCACATGTTCCTTATACATAAAGCATCTCTGGCAGCAATAATACAACTGAAGTGATAAGGGGGCATTGTTTTTTTCTGAACTAAACTCAACTGGGATATCTGATATGGTCTGATACCTGGTGCGATGTCCTACACAAATCATCTGGGGCTTGGCCTCTGGATCTTCTGTGAAGAGCTCAGCATACTGCTCTGAAGCCATCCAGTACACCTGGAAGTAAATGAGTTTGGCTAGACATGCGTACTACCAAATAGTACAGTATGATAATCCACTGGAAATTCAAGGAAACAAAACATTTGGTACTAGATTCACTAGATGTAACATCTGTCCAACATGAGCGATGCACATTGATGCCGACAAGGTAAAAGCCCTATCTGCCAACATCATTGGCGCTTTTTGCCACTGCAAGCGGTAGCCGACATGGCGGCCTTGCTGTTGTATTCCACGGCCATGGAGCGGTCGTAGCAACAGACCAACTCATTCTGCAGGGACAGGGTCACCGGGCAGTAGTGTTTCCTTGGCACCACCGGTATCACGATGATTGGGCCACAATGCCACAATGATCCATAATGCCATGCCACAAAAAGGCAGCTGAAAATTGAAAAAATCTGCAAACTACCGTATCTAGTCGTTTATCATCTTATGGTATCTTATCGTATCTCATCATATCATCCAGTCGTTTAGCTTATTTAATGTTAGTACAGCAATGTCATTTATCATATCATTTCGTATTTTATCATCCTATAATATATTATCATATCTTATCATATCTTGTCACATCTTACCATCACATCTTATCATTTATCATATCTTGTCATTATGCATATCTGATATTCAAAATCTAAAATATGATATTTCATATTTTGAATATCATATATGTATAAATGAAGATATGATAAATGATAAGATGTGATGATAAGATGTGACAAGATATGATAAGATATGATAATATATGATAAGATGATAAAATACGAAATGATATGATAAATGACATTGCTGTACTAACATTTTACTAAATGTTCATAGTAACCACCGATGGTTTTTACCCATCACCATGTCCCGGTAAAAAACCCAGCATCCATGCGGAGACGGTCTCCAGGCGGGCACTCGTGAAGCACATGCCCTTTACGCGCGTGGCTAAGCCTTGGAGGAGTCGAAAATAAAAATCAAAAGCCAAGAACATGAAAATGGAACATATACATGGGCCTAATATGTATATGTATATATATATATATGTGTGTATATATATATATATGTATATATGTATATATACATATATATATACATATATATGTATATATGTATATATGTATCTATGTAAATATGTAAATATGTATATATGTATATATTTGCAGGGGCGGTTTTTCATGTATCATCATTTGCCCGAAATGGTGCTCAAGAATCGGGGCTATCTATCTCTGTGAATTACCAACGAGTAGGAAACGGATCACCTGGATCATGGATACCTGGATTTCAGGTCTGAAGAATTCAGGAGACTGAGCAGCACACATTACAGTAAATATGATATGTAATATTAATCGATTATATCTATTTATATATACATATGTGTGTTTCTCTGCGAGTACTATATACAGTAATACTTGGATTCCTCGGATTCGTTCGCTCCACGACATGGTGGCGTGGTGTCTGGCTTGGGATGGTGGATCTAATGCTAATTCCATATGGTTGGATTGAACCATGGGGGAAATCATTTTGTGTATGTATACCTATCTATATGATTTATGTTTACATATCTATATAATTCATTATAATTCTATATATCTATATGATTATATATATATATACATATCCACAGTGTCCTCGGATAAACTGTGAATACATTCCTACCTGTTTTGGATGGTATTTTCCTTGCTGACCCACATCTGAATCTCGATGCGCTAGTTTGGCGTACGTGGGTAGTTTATCTGGGAGCTAGGTGCCAAACCAAAACCATGGTATTCGACGTTAAATGTACGGTAAATCCATGTTTTTTTAAATCCACCATGGATTAGGAGAAACCCAAACATCATAGGTTGGTTATATACCCAACTCATCTGAATTACATCCCAATGAATATCCCATTCATATCCAGATGATATCCCAAAAAACGGGAGGTTCTAACCGGCCCCGGTTTCATCTGATCAAGCAACTCATTGCAGTTCGGCGGTAATACTTCAGGCGCTCGCGCAAACTTTCGGTTGTCTCCTTGGCCAAATTGGGCAGTTGAGTCATACAGAAATCGCCCCAAGTTCTGATGTTTTTATGACGATATCAGGACCAAAATTAACAGCCACAGTCAGGCAATATTACTCATATGATCTCATATGTGTTGGTGTTTTGGAGGCTTTTTCCATACAAGTTTTGTTCGATCCTTGTAGCAGGCTGCGACTGCAAGAACCTTCAACTTGAGACTCGGATGGAAATCATTCCAGAGTTGGGATGGTCATGGTGAAAAAAACCCATCCGGCCTAGTCACTGGTTGGTGGTTGACTTACCCCTCTGAAAAATATGAAGACAACTCGTCAATTGGGATGATTTTTCCATTCCCAGCTGTTTCTGGAAAGTCAAAATTCCATGGTTCCAGTCACCACCAACCAGGTACCAGGTCATGAATGTCATCATTTGACCCTGGTAACCTGCTACCGGTCATCATAAAACACCCAGGCGACGCCACGGCATTCCGTCCTCCATTGCGCGATCAAAGATGGCCCACTTTGACCTGCAGGGCTTGGGAGTCAAACTTGTGGGAAAAGCCTGCCATAGACCTACCATGACCTAGGGGATTCATACCATTTTATTGGGTTTATGGTAGGTCTAAAAATAATATGAGTCCATGTATACCATCCATTTTACTGTATGAATCCCATTTTTATACCATCCATTTATATTTTCTTCTGAAAAAAAACCTCTTGATGAGTGGCCCCACACTGATGGCTAAAGGCCAACATCAGAAGCAAAACAACTGCACATAGACCATTTATATGTCAAAAAAAATATTGGGTTTACCGACACGATTTTTTTTTGAGTTGCTACAGTTCCAAAAGTCATTCGCTTCTTCGACTGTTCGACCTCCGACCTCTGAGGGTTCGTCATGGTTCGTCATGAACTTACAGATCAGACCACTTGGGGAATATAATCCATAAGTGATATTTTTGTGAATACCATACACCATAGACGATATATGATGGGAGTGATAAGTGATAAGTGATATATATATATATATATCATGATTATAAGTGATATTTCAGTATATAGAAGTGAATACATCGTGAATACATCGTGAATACATGGTGTAAATGATCTCTCGTGAACCCCGTGGCACCCAAATCTTCAAAAAGGCACCTGGAAGCGTCGATGTCCCTGACATTCTCAAAGATTGTGGCATAGAAGACCTCAGAAAAAATCCGTGAAAAGATGGAACAGATTTTATAGGGGATTGATTGACCCTGAAATTATAGGGATTTTTCACTATGTTGCAACCATGATAAACAGGTTTTCCTTGGAGATTCATTGGGGAAGCCACAACCAATTTTGACGGAGTAGCCTCGGCGGCTTCACCAATCTTGAATCCTCATGTTTCCTTATCTCCATCTCCACATTCTTCTAGTTGGATCCATGCTTTTTTGCTGAAACAATGCCTTAGAACAACCAGTTCAAGAAGTTCTTGCGAACTCCTCAGTTTCTGTTGCTTCCACTTGGTAGCTCATCCCACTTAGTAAGTGGGTTATAACCCCAGTTATAAGTGGATTAACCCTACTTATCCCATTTATAACTGGGGTTATAACCCACTTACTAAGTGGGATGAGCCACCAAGCACAGCCTTTTGGTGCTAAACCCGCAAACAACCGGGCATCCGCACACGCAAGGCCGGGCTCTGGACGCTGAAGCCCTGGAGACGCTCGCGCTGCAGCGCCAGTTCTTGTTGAAGTTCCTGACCTGAAATCGATGGATGGAGATTTTTCAGATATCTCAATGGATAACTTCGTTAAACATCAGGGAACCATAGATTTTCCCATGAAGATCATGGGTGTTTCCTCTAATTTTTCCCTTAAACCAGTCCATTGAGATATTGATTGGATCATTTGTAGTGGGATAATCAATGGATTACCGTATGGGACTATGAATAGAAGATTCATGGGACTATTCATGGGATATATCATGATATCTATCTATGTATATATACCCTTTATAGATGATTTATCATGGTTTACCTATTAGAAATGGTGATTTCCCATAGCTACGTTCAATAAGCAGAGGGTATATATACAACTACAACAACAACAACAGCAGCAACAACAACAACAACAACCACCTTGTTCAATGGTTTTTCCATGGTGGTTTAATGGGATTTAATGGAACTAGCTTAACTTATTGGTACTGGATGGTTGGACGTGTCACCGTCAATAACTTGTGGATATCTCACTGCATCGGTTGGATGTTTCTGGATCATGGGAATAATGTTAGGTATATTAAATGGGATATATAATATATATAACCAACAATCTCATTTGTGGTGGTTTAATTTGGATGTTTCTGGTATCTAACCAAGAAACTATGGGGATATTTCCTGGCGATATGATGTTCAATTCTTCTGGATAAATATGGATAAGTCATGTATCACAATTCACAAAGCTGAAGGCCGCTTACGGCCCTTAAGCAAGGGGATAGTTCTCCCAACACAATTTGCATCATCCCAGTCACCTTTGCGTTGCGAGGTCATGAAGAATTTATCGCCATATCTGAAGATAAAATGTGTAACATGGATGGATGTGTTAAGGTTGTAGTTGATGGGAATAATTGATGGAAATATGGGATTGATGTTTCTTGACCATCTATATTAACAATATGGATCCCCTGCCAATATGGAATACGGCATTGATGGATGTGTAATGATGGATGGATGATGGCTACAGTAGGATTATATTTTGGGGGGGACTGAATGGGATAGTTTACCATCAAACAACTGTAGTGGATGGAAATGGAAGATTTGCAAATTAACCAACAAGGCTATTCTACCAGTAGTTTGTATCATGGGATTTAATGGGGATATTGATGGGGATATCAATGTGCAAAATAAAGGGGATATTATTGTTGACGGGTCAAAACCTATGGGTTAATGTGGATTCATGGGTACTGATGTAGACTTAAGCATCAAAAAGGTGGTATGATGGGATATACTACCTTTTGAAACTGGTACGACACCACCTTGGGGTGCTGCGCAGGTACCTTATTTTTAGACAACGGGTTCACAAGGCTACCCGGATTTTGGCCCTATAACTCTTGAAAAACAATGATACTATGATGGTTTCTGCAGGGCTAACTGTGGAACATCTGGTAAATGCTGGCAAATATACTAAGTATTCTCATGGGTAAATGTGTATATATATATATATCTTTGTGTGTGTGTCTATGTCTCAAAATAGGGGAACAAAACCGAACATGTTTGGGGTATATCATGGGTATAGAATGGGATGCATGGGATATTACTATAGATCCCATGGGGTTGTCAGGCATTAAACAAACGGATCTAAAGTTTAAGCATGTTTTTTCCAAAACGGGAGTGCTATGATCTTTAAATCTCTTGAGCATCAGGAAAGTTCCATCGCGATCTCCCTTTTTTACTCATAGATAATGGGATCCTGGCAGAAAAATGGGACCAAGATATGAAGTTCAAGAATTAAGATGGGAACTCATCCAACACTTTTGCTATGTCAACCTGATTGATGCATGAACCTGAATGTCCCAAAAAAAAATGAGGTGGATAAAACACCATGTATATAAGCAACAAAATTGTGGCGACATGATGGAATAGGGCTAGGGCCTGGGCTTTTCCACTGGTTGGTTTACATGAGATTTCCAGCCAATAAATGGTGATATCAACCAAACAAAATGGGCATGCTACCGTTGTTGATGTTGCTTATGTTGATTGGTTGATGCTGAAAAAAGGGGGTTCATACGACGGAATTCTATGGAGATTATGAACTAATCCACGAAGTTGAAAAGTTCGACAAAAATACGCTGGGTGCTTCATTCAGATGTCCAGATATCCATGGCCAGGCGGGTTTTGGAACAAGCCAGGCACTAAAAACAGATCTGGTTGAGACGATGACCCTGAAATCGACTATAGTAGCCCCTAAGAAAAATGTAGAAAATCAGAAAGTAGTTCATCACTATTTTCGAGATGGATTTTGCTTTTCTGGGTTGTCTGAAAATGGGGCATACCCTCAATGCCTGACCATTTTCACAGGGAAAAAAAACGATAAACCATCAATTTTGACGTACCCCATTTTTCAGAGAAATCAACAGATCATGTCAAAAGTGTTAGTTATATCCCATAACATACCCATGATATAAAATCCAACAAAAAATACCAATTGTTGTCGTTTAATCCCTCCATTTTCAGACAGGGACATGTCGAAAAATGGCTTCATCTCCCATGAAAAATCCCAATTACCCTCTGGTAAACAGTTAAACATACGAAAAACTGTGGGAAATCACCATGCTATTAATGGGTAAATCCACTATTTCTATGGCCATTTTCAATAGCTATTTTGACATAACCAGAGGGTAAATATAACTCCCCATATTATCCCCATATTGTTGGTTTGTATCCTAATATGGAGCTTTCCTATGGGGGTACCCCCAAATCATCCATGTTTTTTCGGGGAATCTTCCACGATGGGAGAAGCCCGTCGCCTTCCACGGCGGCACTCTTCAACTCAGCCGCGCGCGCGTAAATCACGGCCTGCCGGTGGCACAAGATGCAGAGGTCCTCAAAAAACTTCGTAACCTTATCATTGTTGATATATAATATATATATATATATTATCTAAATATGAATGTAGATCTACATATAAATTGAACCATGTAGATATTTGTTGATATGCCATGTATATCTACATCGTGTGTCTAAAAAAGTTTGTGGGCATCGGTTGAAAAAACCCACCAGGAGTTGGAGCAACCTTGATGGGGAGATAACAGGATATATCGAAATGTATAGTATAGTATATATACCCTCTGGTAATTTAACATAGCTATTGAAAATGACCATTTTTAATGGGAAACCTCACTATAAATGGCCATTTTCAATAGCTATGTTAGTTTACCAGAGGGTATATATATATATATATACTGGTTGGTGGTTGACCTACCCCTCTGAAAAGTATGAAAGTCAGTTGGGATGATGAAATTCCCAATATGATGGGAAAAATAAAACATGTTCCAAACCACCAACCAGTATATATATATATAGAGCCTTAATGGGATATCAATGGGATATAAATCAAGATATTCATCAAAATATTCACCAGCTTATAAAACTGATGAACATCTCTTGATGATAAACCCACAACATATTCAAAAAATGCATCACGATATTTTAAGTAGACATTCATCCATCCATATTCCATAGAACCCTGGGTTTTTTCCAATATAGAACCCCCTTATCCCCATAGAACCCCCCATTTTCTCGGTGCCTCGGGTGCTAAGAGCATGAAGACGCGATGCGGCACGATACCCAAAGCCGTGAGCCCTTCGGCCTCAAAAACATCGGATCGGACATCGGATCGGAGCCGGCTCGGCCTGTAACTTGGTTAACTAAGTTTTAATATGTTTTATATTGGGATAATCAATGGATAGATGGAGATTTTTCAGATAGCTCAATGGATAACTTGGTTAAACATCAGGAAATCATAGATTTTCCCATGAAGATCATGGGTGTTTCCTCTAATTTTTCCCTTAAACCAGTCCATTGAGATATTGATTGGATCATTTATATTGGGATAATCAATGGATTACCGTATGGGATTATGAATAGAAGATTCATGGGTTCAATTTTACCAATTTTTCTTTTTGACCAACAAAAATCTAGCGTTGATCAACCCACTTTTGGGGGTGACACATCCATGTGCAAGCTGTCTGCATCAACTACTGGTTGGTGGTGCAATAACTATGTTGAAAAATATGATATCGTCAATGGGAAGGATGACATCCCCAGCATATGAAATGGAAAATTCCAAGAATGTTTGAAACCACCAACCAGACTATATCAACATATAATTACACCAGCCCGGATCTGCTATGAATCTTCACTACCCTATGAAGTGGCTAGGCATGTGAATCTTCACTACCTAGCCCTATGAAGTGCGTAGTGGCCATGTACAATGCTTCAGCAAATGGGGAGTATACTCTGAGTATACCTAGCAAGCAGTGGGATTTTCAGGTTGGAAATGTTTCTGTGCAAATTAACGGTTGTGTCACCCTGTTTGAGAACATACGTAACAAATGGAGGGATATATATATATACATTCCAGCCACGCAACGACTTGGGACTGTCGCGGACGAATTATGGGACTATGGTGTTTAATCAACATGCATATGTTTATCAACTTCGAACTTCCAAGCTCAAACAATGAAGATAAAATATTCCAAACATCAGATATAACTACCATCAAAAACAAAACATACCGTCCGTTTCATTTCAGAGAATAAATATTTATAGATAATGATATTGCCAATTATGTGTAATCTACGGAATATGAATAACACTCATCAAGATATGACGCACATATAAGAATAATGATCATATATAAGTACATTCACAATTACCATCATTTACAGTCCCCCAAATCAACATCGACCTGCCAAATAGAGGCTCCAACAAGTTGTTTGTTTCCACCAGAAATTGTTGGTTTTCAGGGTCTATCTTGATGCAAATTCTATACTCCCCGATAATTCAACATAGATATGGAAAATTGTCTAAATTTATAGATGATTCACCTATATTTACTTACTAAAAATGATGGTTGTAAATGACCAGAGGTTAACTTGCCATCATATACCCAGTATACCACCGTCTTTCTTGGTTAAACCATCATTTTTTGTGGTTCATCATAGGGTCTTATTGCTCAACAACTCCCGTGCCTGCGCTTTGGTGCAGGGAAAGTCGTCCAAGACCCAGCCGCTTCGCAGCGCATCCGGCGACAACAGACGGAAACGAATGGCCTGGATCACCTCAGCCCGTCCCGCAGTGAAGCAGTGATACTACACAAAGGTGTATGATGTTCTTTGGGCATTTACATTTAGGTAGTATATATTAATATATGTATATGTAATATATACGTGTGTGTATATATATATATATGTTATACGTGTATATATATATAGCATATAATCTCTAGGTAGCAAATATTTAGCATAAAGACATACAATGAGTGGCAAACCATGTGTGAGGTACGCTATAGGCAGTATTTACTATATGGGCACACTATGCAATGAGTCGTATACAGGTACGCTATGAAACATGGGTAGGTAGTGCAAGGAGTACATGTATGTGTATATAATATATATGGTGTGTGTATGTATATATATATATATATATATATGGTGTGTGTATGTGTATGTGTATATGTGTATATGTATATGTATAGGTGTATGTGTGTATGTGTGTATGTGTGTATGTGTGTATGCATGTATGTATGTATGTATATATATATGTATATATGTATGTATATGTATATATATGTGTATGTATGTATGTATATATGTAAATACAGATGTGTATATACATAAATGTATGTGTATATATGTATATCTGTATATAAAAATATATGTATATATGATATATAGATGTATATATACAGCATATATGTATATGTATATATTATATATACACCTATTTGTAGGTACATACTGCATGCAAGCATAGGATATGGGATCATATTGGTATCTATAGGTATGCATAGGTATGCTTTGAGTTTAATAATCTTCATACAATGAGTAATAAGTCATGTGTGAGGTACGCTATAGAAACAAACAGGTCCAGTGACGAGGTTGTGACTCTCAAATGCTGCAAAACAACGTACGAATGCGAGGCTGTGCCGCCCAAATGCTGCAAATAGCGTGCAAATGTGAGGTTTCGGGGGTGGGGACCATACCATTGGGGAGGGGGGTCCGGGGACCGGGTTCATACATGTAGTTTCTGATATCTGGATACAAGGTGATGTGGATACACTATAGATACAGAACTTGTGATCAGTTTCTGATAGCTGTTTCTACACTCTATATCTCTATCTATATCTATGTGCATACATATATATATACATATATATATACATATATATATATGCATATCATGGGTTTAGTTCATAGTTATCTGGTTGGTGGTATACCTACCCCTCTGACAAAATATGAAAGTCAGTTGGGATGATGAAATTCCCAATATATAGAAAAAGAAAATTCATGCTCCAAACCACCAACCAGAAACCTCTAATCAATAAACCCGGTAACATGTCTATGTTAAACCTCTGGTCAATGAAACCTCTGGGTGCTGTTGATTACATGATTTATTTGATATTGAGTTGATCCACCAGAGGTCCCTTAGCATGTCTTGACATCGTGTTTAATCCAACACTCGTCAGCAGATAGAATCATCCAGATTTAAAAGCCATGCAGTAAGAATAAGCACCCTCACTTAGAATCTTCTGAGAACATTAGCAGTTGGAAGATTCCATCATGCTGCTGTGCACAAAAAACTACCCGCTTCTCGAACGGAGCATAGGGGAGCACAAGGAGTTATATAAACCATAAAATATTCTAAATGCTAGACTGCAATTATTTAAAAAAAAAACAATCCCATGATGAAATTCTAAACCTCATGATGAATTGTGAAAGGCATCAACCACCCATTTTCCGGGGTCGATTCATGATCGAGACCAACCCGGCTCCGGGCGTCGGGCCAAAGGATCTGGAACTCGTTGACCGCTTTGCAAAGCTGCGCGGATGTCCTGTGGGTCACTTTGTGCTTTCGGGGAATTTTGTGGTTTAAACTCGTGAATCATTTATATCATTCAATGAGTTCGTGCAGGAACATGTTCGAATCGGGTCCCTCCGATTGTAGGGATGTCCTGTAAGGTTTCCCATAAACCAATTCTGGGAGTTACAGTATATATAGTCATATACTATTTGGTATGGCCAATAAAACCTGGGAAAAACTATATCAAGACATGTTAAGATCAATATTTCAAATTTGTGTATGACTGGTGCTTGGCGCGTTGCGATTCGTCCACATTCCCAGCTATCAGGTGAGTTGAAATTCATACCATTTCATAAACCGCAAGACCTTCCTTGGCACATTCATCTACCTCATTCTAACTGATTGAGTCGTGATGTTCTTCCATGTTTTTTTTTGCTTTATCTGCCACCTGCTGCTTCTACCCTCCTAAACTTGTTTGGGGGTTTCTTAAAACCACCACGTCACCCGTCACCGTGTCCCAAAATCACACGGTACAATATCGCTCAAAAAATAAGCATAACAACTTGAGGGGTTAACGTATCCAACAATTACATGTTCGATCCCACTTAAAATATCTTAAAGTGGGGAAGGCAATGTCAATAAACGCCCCCAAGGATAGGTAAAGACCGTTTCATATCATTTTTCCCACATGTTTGGCAATAATAATAAATTGAGTGGAAAACCCTGACCCCATCTATCTGTTTTTTAATCGGGGAAATTTCCCATAATGGATTGTGACAATGCTCAATATATTGGGTAATATGTACAACCCCAACTAATTCCTGATGAAACAAGCATGTGTAAATGGTATCAAGCTCATATCCCATCTGTTTCATACTTAAAACATGTTGAAAACTCCATGATTGATGGTAAAATCCCATCAAAATTCCATGGAAAGTTTTCTGATTTTCATGATGAAATCCCAGTGGCCAAGATCTCACTCCCACTGAAATCCGATCTTTTAGTTGTTTTCTGGTTGGTGGTTGACCTTCCCCTCTGAAAAATATGAGTCAGTTGGGATGATGAAATTCCCAATATATGGGAAAAAAACATGTTCCAAACCACCAACCAGTTGTTCAATAGGTCTTGGATCGTTAGACCCCCATTTGTCATGGTCAAATTCCAAGGTTCCCTTAGGTCCCTGGCATGAAACGTGTCACGCCCGGCTCCTTGGAGAGTTGACACGGCACAGCCTCGGGCATCAACGTGCTCAAGGCCTCTGGGACGGAGATGTAGACAGCTCCAGTCCTGGGGTGATTAATGGTGGTTAATGGTGGTTAATGATGGTGACTAATGGTGATTAATGATAATTTCACTTACCCTCTGGGAAACTAACATAACAAACTGGAAAGTCACCATTTTATGGCTGGGTAAATCAACTATTTCGACTGGGCCATTGTCAATAGCGAACTGTTAGCATTGACTATAATGTGGGTAAGATAATGTCATAAACCACCCATGACTGGCAATGGTAAGTTTATACCACCTAAAAAATGGCAATGACTGGGGGATGGTGCAGATGGCATTGTTTTATCTCATAATATAGTCAATGGGAATTTCAGGAGCCTAAAATGGAGGTACGTTAGTATCATATAAGGACACAAAAAACATGTGGAGATATTCCCTTAGATGATGTATATGATGTTTGTATGAAGTGGACATCCGGACATCCTATAAATGTTGATATTCTGCAGAAGTTACAATAGTATCTATTTATCATAGTGCTTATTTAATACTATTTAGAGTATTTAAACAAAGTTTTGTTGGATATTGTATTTTTCATGGAGAAACCATACAGTATATGATCGAAGGAAGTTTAGAAGTGAAACTTCCGACAATATGGACAGTTGAAAAGCAGAGGTGAGAAGAGTCAGAAGAGAAAAGATCAGAAGAAAGAAGATGCAGGTGCGCGAAAAGGTAGGAACGTCGCGAAACACTGTTTTTCCAATGATTTGTGGCTCCGGAGGGTCGAAAAGTAGGCTCGCTAAAGCGGCGGGTGCGGAGCCAGCTGGCCAGATGAGAGAGGAAAAATTGCACGCCGTTGTGGCGCGAAGCACATTTCCAAGTGAAAAGTGACAAAACACTAGAGGAGCGGACCACTTTTGGAAGTTGAGATGTCGAAAAAGTGCACGCCGTTGTGGCGTGAAGCACATTTCCAAGTCAAAATGTACAAAACACACCATTCTCGGACCACTTTTGGAAGTTGCGATGTCGAAAAAGTGCACGCCGTTGTGGCGCGAAGCACATTTCGAAGTCAAAATGTACAAAACACCCCAGGCTCGGACCACTTTTGGAGGTTCAGATGTCGAAAAAGTGCACGCCGTTGTGGCGCGAAGCACATTTCGAAGTCAAAAGTGTAAAAAACTGGTGGTTTTGAGCCTTTTTTGACGTTAAGATGTCGAAAAAGTAGACACTGATTAACTTAACTAACTTGACTAACTTAACTAACTTGACTAACTTAACTAACTTCACTAACTTAACTACCCTAACTTCGACGACAACAGCAACAACAACAACAGCAACAACTACAACTACAACTACAACTACAACTACAACTACAACTATACAACAACTACAACTAGAATTATAACAACTACAGCTACAACAACAACTACTACTACAACTGCAACTACAACAACAGCAACAACAACAACAACTACTACTACTACTACAACTACAACTACAACAACTACAACTACATTCCACAACAACTACAACTACACAACAACTACAGCTACAACTACAACAACTACAACTACAACTACAACAACAACTACTACAACTACAACTACAACAACTACAACTACAACTACACAACAACTACAACTACAAAACAACTACAACTACAACTATATGACTGCAACTACACTACACTAATTACATTACACCACAACTACAACTCCACTACGCTACAACTACAACTACAGTTGCAGTACATCACAGTACATCCAGCAGTTGTGGGTGAGGTGACCACTGCAACCATTGCAACCACTCCAGCAAACACAACTCCAACCACCTTTCGGTCAATCAGTGGATTCGCTCTGCCATCCTGGATTCACAACAACCAAGCTCTCCTATAGGTTTCCTATTCTGAAACTTCCGCCACCGCCTTGTGCGGTACTACTGGTACAAATAAATAAATAATCAAATATACATATACATATATATATATATATGTTGATTTGTATCTACTTCGACTAAAACTATGGAGAATATATAGTACTTTACATATATATATATGTATAGAACACATTTATGTCGAAAGCATGTCGTGTATATATATACAAATACACTAATATACTGCGTACAGACTTTAAAAATATTTGCGTACATATAATACTGTGTGTATAAATTAAATATATATAACTCTGTGTGTGGGAGTGCGGGCGGGAACCTTTGAAACTAGAAATGAACATGTGGGATGGAGAAACTTTGCAGTGGCTTTCTTGGCGCCAGAATTGGGGCGCCAGAATTGGGCCAATGCGTCATGCTGCGGGTGTGCTTGGAAAAGCTGAAGCCATGCATGCTACTGCACATACATATATAGGTAAACGTCATAAATATATGTGCTAAAATGAATTCAAACTGTATCACAATTGCAATTTATGTAAACCTTAACGGTTGTTTTTTTTTCAGCCGTAGGCGTTTGAAACCGCCAACTGCTCACCAGCGAAAATTGTTTGAGTCAGAGGCTGCTGCAGTTCCCTGCCATTTTTTTTGGCTTGCCAGCTTTGGGTAGGGAGCATGTTATTCCTAGGTTTTTCCCATCCAACTGAGGTACAATCATGCAGAAAATCTCATCCCACAACTGATGCAACAGGCCCCAAGATGATGGGCCATGATGGGCCCCAAAATACCACCATGTCCAATCCTAAAGTTACTCAACCATATCACATGATATTAAGTCTTATGATTTTAAGCTAGTTTCCCAATCATAATATCTAATATATATATATATGTTTTTATAATATTTTATAGCTAGTTTCCCAATTGGCCATGTAAAAAACTGGCTGGAAGGATTACCCGGATTACTACTCAAACATGGCTGGAGAACCTCCCTGTAAATGAAGCTTCGGTTTGTCGGGAAATCATCGAACTAGCCATGGTGGATTTTCCAGCAAGCCATGTTTGATTAGCAGATGGTAATAATGAATAGATATGGTGGTTTCCTGAAATAGGGGTACCCCCAAATCATCCATGTTAATGGGATTTTCCATTATTATAAACCAACCATTTTTGGATACCCCCATTTATGGAAACCCCCAAGTGATGTTTGGTTCCCAAACACCTGAGGATGACCCAGGCATAGTCCTCTGCGCAAGTTCTTTCGCCAGGGACGTCTTTCCTCGATTGCAGGGCCGTCAAAAAACACGACCTTTCAAAGAGTTGATTAGTTGATTCTGTTTTGAAACTGATTTGCCATGCTTCATCAATATGAATATGAGGGGTTCCAAGGATGGGAAACCCCCACCATCGCTTTCCCCTTAATGAGAAATACGGTAACTTGGATGAGAGCTTGGAATCTACAATGATTTAGGAACCCCCCCCATACATAACCATCCGAATATTGCCTTTTGGGTGGCCTTAACCACACTTCTCTTTGACCAGTCGCGAGCAACTTTCTGTTGCCCCCAGTCATGTTGTTGTACTGGTTGGTTCATAGAGATTCCAATAATGGATGATGATAACCCACAATGTATTGGACAGTATACAGAGATACACAGAGCATAACCCCCGAAACAATCATCAACCAACCATATAATTCATCAATGAATTTGTTATACCTTTTCTTGATTGTTAAAACATGTTAAAACATGTTCATTGCTGCAAACCCTACGCTTGCGCGGTCCAATTGCAGCTTTACCCATGTTCTGATTATCACTCCGCACATCATTAGATCATCAACCTGAAGTTCAGAGGGGGCGGCCAGATTATGATGAGCAATTCTCATACCATTAGAATACCAATGTGAAGTTCAGGGGTGGTAGATTCATTGTCATGCAACATGTGAAATGAAACATGTTGATGCATCATATCATAGGAGCTCAAATAGTGGAGTGGGCGAACATAGGATTTGGCGCTAATATCTTAAAACATGGAAAAACGTCTTAAAACAACTTCAAACCTCTTTTTAAACATCTTTTTTCAACATCTTGTAAAACATCTCTTAAACCATCTTTTTAAACATGTTTTTTCAACCCCTCTCTGAATGATGGTTGTAATATGTTTTAATATGTTTTAATCCCCCAGAAACCATAATTCGGCCGAGAGGCCACTCAAAGGGCCTCCAACCACGCTGATTGCCGGGCAAACCTGCACTGGACTGGGACCTGCAGCGGTGAAGTCTCAGAGGGGAACACGGCACGTGTAACACGGCACGTTACTTGTATAATGTGGTTAAAACAATGGGAAAATGGTGGTTTAATGGCATTTAAATGGGATTTAAATGAAATTTTAGTGGGTTATAACCAACTATGAACTTTTAAATTGGGATTAATGTGGTTAAAAACAATGCCATAAACTACCCATTTGGGAATGGTAACCATACCACCTATAAAAATGGTGATGACTGGGGGATGGTGCAAATGGCAGCCAGTTTTAACCACATGATTACGCTATTAATTACAACCATAGTTGTATATTACAACCATAGTTGTATATTATAAGCATAGTTGTACGGGCCCCTAATCTCCCAACTTGTGATATGGTGGTTTTCCTGAAAACCAGCCTGTCCCAGGTTCTCACCCAAAAAACTGCCTGCACCTTCAAGGGCCTCTTTGGGCGATTATGAAATCATCAGACATAGCTTGGAGGGTAACAACAGTGATAAAATTACCATCCTTAGATTCACTGGATTGGTTTTGTTGGGAAAATTTTAACCGGAAACCCATGGTTTTTACCATGAAATATAGGGCTGTCCTGTTCCCCCTTTCGGTGCTTGGACGAAATGGATCCTTAAATGACTTTGACCAAACATAGGCTAATTACCCTTAAAACATCCAGTGATTTAGCATCAATGTTACGCATAGTTTGAGAAACCAGCGTCCTTTGCACTTAAATGGTACAGATGAAGCCCTTTACAAACTATAAATGGTTATATAAATGAGAGTATACACCACATTCCATGGATGGGGTTATAACATGTTATAACTGACTCATAGCTGGTGGAGGGCCTCAACTGTAGGGAATAAACCAGGTCAGCCGGTCATCCTTTTTCCGGACTTGCAACTTTTCTTTCACTTCGACGATTGGTCGCTGCCTGCATTCACTGCTGACATAGGTCTCTCAGTGGACAGCTAAATTCAGCTAAGGTACCCAAAAAACAACCAGCTGCAAAGGAACATCTAACTTTCGCTAGAATATATCCATGATGGCGGAATTTTCTGGAGTCATACTGTTCTTTGCTGATCTGGTAGTCATTAAAAATTGCATGGAATTGAGATCATGCCACTTCAGCGGAATGACAGTTTTCTATCATGGTCTATCTCATCCGCCTCCTGGACTTATATAAATCTGCAAATTTCTCATTGCCATTTGTTTTGAGGTCCACAAGGGTCCACAAGAGCGAATGCCCACTGCCAAATTCATGCAAATTCACGGCCACCAAAGTAACTCACAACCGGTGGGTACAGCTTGGTGGTTTCAAACCGCTCTGAAGAACTACAGGAACTGGGCTAAAAAACTCACAGGTCAAGTAAGATTGCCCATCACCGCACGTTTGCACGCGCTAATCACGATGCTGTAGGCAGTGTCATCACATTGGAAGCCCCCTGGCATGCCGGTGTCAAGCTGGGAACGATGACCCAGGGATGTTGTTCGAGATACTGTCACGTCAAAAATAGCTATTTGTATGCAAAATTTGGTATGTATAGTGGAATGTATTGATGCAAGTGTATGGTTATCCGACATTTACTGGGACTTCCTTGTGTTGGAACACAAGTCGGTGGCAATGCGAGTGAACTTTGTGAGCGGTTAACAGAAGTAGTTCAAGTATTGGACCATAACTCTTCTATTGTTGCTCGTTGCTATGGCTACCAGCCTTCTTCACCACGGTTTACCCAGGTCCTCTCCCTGGTGATTTTTCATTCGTGGAATGGGTGCTCCCTCGCGTCGTCACCAGTTACTTGGCAAATTTCTACCCAGAAGAACCCGATCGGGTGAAGGTCTTGGATGTATTTATAATGGGACCCGATCGGGAACATCAAGTATCATGTTGGCTTTTTGCATCCTCATTTCAGGATGATTGGCCATACAAAACCCTCGGTATGTTTGATAGCTAGATGCACCCCGAATAAACAACTCAGGGGTATAAGATTCTTATCAAAATCATTTATACTCTTATGATTCCACTTCTTTGGGTTGTTGATCAATGCCACTGGGTTCAACATTGACTAAGATCAACTGCAGGCGCTCTACCAAACATGGCAACATCATGTACAACACCTACTGTACCAGGTGTGGGAAGTGCCAAAATTGGGTTGTTGACTCGTTTTGGTTATTAATATAACATTTCAACACCATTTCAGTTGGTTTCTCCCCCATGTGTTTTTATCCCAACACCAAAATATGAAATATCCTCTAGAAACGAGTGTTTACTATTAGATGATGTATTCATTTTGGGGTCCCAAAAATGTGAAAATGGCTTTAAAAAAATTGTGGAGGTTCATCCCTTTATATATCGTAAAGAATAGGTGTTGACCCATCTTGACCCATCCCACATGCAGATCTCATCAGATTTATTCAGATTTCATTAATAGGTTTCACTTACGGAGCTTCATTTCCCATACCCTCTGGTAATTTAACATAGCTATTGAAAATGGCCATTTATAGTGAGTTTTCCCATTAAACATGGTGATTTTCCATAGTTATGTTAGTTTACCAGAGGGTAGGTTTCATCAATCTCTTGGCCTCTTGGCCCCCAGATCGAGCCTTGCCTCGATCTGCCATCTGCAAGGCATGTAGCGCTTGGCTCCAGTGAGACATCGCTTCGCAGGCACTTAGCACCGCACCTGCTGGTGAGTTGAAACCACCTGGTCAGGGATACTATTCAGTACTGAACCGTAGAAAAAAATGTAGTAATAGTATCCCAGTTGGGTATCCCAACTAATGGGATATGAAAAACCAGTTGGGTTTGAACATGTTTGAACACTTGTGTTTTTTAACATTGACTTGGTTTGAGACGAGTAGAAAAACGAAACCATGACCTTTACAAGTCTTTCCTTCATCAAATTCAGTGTAAAACACCTGGGATTTCAACGCAACCACCACCCATCAAAGGTTTTTCGTGTCAAACCCGTGCCTATCTTAGCTGCCGCCCCAAGCTTTGTTTTATTAAATGCCTTTCTTCTTGGTTAACATAGGTACATGTAACAGTAACATCTTCATTTTTTCTCAAGATCCACATGTTTGCTGGTAATGGAAATCCTAGATTCCGTTGAACCCCCATTTCAAGTTTAAAAAAACCTTGAAGGTTTGCTTCTTACATAAACTCCATTTGTGTTGTTAACATGCCCATTTGCGTGCGTGTGTGTGGGAGGGGGTAGATCAAGAGATCAAGAGTATCTTTGCTTAAACATCCACCCACATGTCTTGGTTAAGGTGAATCCCGATGCTTCACTTCGGTCGGTGACAATTCCATTCCCCCCTCCTTGAATTGCTCCAAAAAAATAGTTGGCTAAATCCTTCTCTAAATCATTATCCAAAAGAAATATATGAAATATACAGTACAAGGAAAATAATGATCTATACGTTCAAAATCCAGCACAATATTGATTCCAGAAAGCATGCTTAAGTAGGGTGATTTTTCATGATTTTCACATATTTGGGACCGATTTTTGGGGCGAATCAAAAATTAAAAAAACGGGATGGGATTATCTCATGGTCATCTTTCATCAAGGTGGTTACCGAAATGGGTTACCACGCTGTACCGTTCCCCCGAAAGCACTCCACATCTTCAGATCGCATGCTTTCGCACTGCGACCCCGCTCCAGCAGCTGCACGGCAGAGGACCAGTGGGCGCCAACCATGACCTGAACCCATGGAGCCCATGGAACCCATGGTAAACATAGAAAAAACGATGGAAACTCACCATGTTTAAGGGTAAATCATCGAAAAAATGATCGAAGGGTATCCGACAGCAATGGTATCTTGGGTCGGAAGCTCATCCCCCCAAAGATCCACGATGTATTGTCTAAGCCTATGATATTCATACGTGAAGTTACGTTACTTTACGTTACCTAGCATTACGTTCCATTATGTTCCATTAGGTTACGTTGCATCTGATATTTACCCTCTGGTAATTTCACAGTTCGCTATTGAACATGGCCAATTGATGGTTGATTTACCATTTCAAATATTGTGCTTTTCCAGTTAGCTATGCAAACGTTTACCAGAGGGTAAGTGAAATCATCATTAATCACCATTAGTCACCATCATTAACCATCATTAATCACCATTAATCACCATTAATCACCTGTGGACTTGCATCAGCTCTATCCACCTGTGAACTTGCCAAGTTGCCCCAGTGAAGGTGATGGCGTCGCACCGCAGGGAGAGGCCTCGAGGGTAGCCCAAGTCCCCAGTATGTTGTGTACAAAGGATATATTCATACATCTCATATATAGCTGTACGATATAAGCATAAAATGCGCGAACTGTATATATCATTATATGATATATATATATATATATATTGTATCAGTATATATATATATGTATATGATTATATATGATTATATATATATATATATGATTATATATGATTATATATATATATGATTATATATGATTATATATGATTATATATGATTATATATGATTATATATGATTATATATTATTATATATGATTATATATGATTATATATGATTATATATATTGTATCAGTATATATATATATATATATATGTATATGATTATATATATATATGATTATATATATATGATTATATATATATGATTATATATATATGATTATATATATATGATTATATATTATATTGTGGCATTAAAATATGTCTATGTCTATAACTATAACAATTATATCTGTTTGGAGAATCACCTGGAGGATCAGGTACTTCATGGGGTGATCTCAAGCCTAACCACTGCAGTATGTCAGCAGTTTGGGACACTCAACGATTTTCGAAACAACCATGGGCAACCTCGGCTGCAAACGGAAGTCATCCTCAAGTTGGAACATCACATATTCATACATTAAAATTAAAAGACATGAAAAGACCATCAAAGACCACTTCATGCTACAAATAAACAGGAAAATCCATCCTGGACCATCTGGATAGCTTTCAGTGTCACATGAAAACTTCGGCTATTTGAGGATAGTTGCCTCAAATCCAATTCCCATCATTCCATTTTTCAACAGAAGGTTCGGTCGCAACATACATCGCCCAGCTCTTCCCCAACCGCGGCAGCGAAGCCACCGGTCCTTGCATTTCTTCGAAGAGTTTCCATGCCACAGAAAACTCATGACCTGCGAATTTGACCGGAACGGAGCAAAATGGGGAGACCAAATAGGATATGAGTCGGATACTCTCTGGTAATTTAACAGTTTGCAATTGAAAATTGCCATTTATAGTGGATTTACCAGTTGAAAATGATGATTTTCCATAGCTATGTAAACGTTTACCAGAGGGTACATAAAATAAACAAACAAATTAAATTCGATATGGCTTTGGCCAGAAAATGCGTTGGATATCCGGCTATGTTCCGTCAACCCCATGTAAGTCGCATGAGTGTACCAGAAATATATCAAGATTCGGACATAAACAAATCATGAATGCAGATATAGAGTGTAGGTAAAGATACCAGATGGCTATGGAATGCTATTGGTCAAAATCGGACTCCGGTAAACATGGCACTGGAAAGTCTCATAAGTCTCATTATTGGCCGTTGATGTTGAAAATTATTTAATCCCCCATTGATGATTGTCCAATTTAAATACCCATTTGTGGGAGCAAAAAGCAATTCCCATGTTTGATTGCCAGGGGCTACCGGATCCCGAATTGCTGGCCATACAGTAGCCGTAGCCTTTACCCTCAAGCGTTTTTAATGATCACCCGAAGCCAAATTTTGGATAAGTGATACGAATACAAAGCCAAAAGTGGGCAACCAAAAAGTTAGAATAGATAATGGATGGCCAAAATAAGTTGTTCCCGATATAATTTTGACACATGCCATCACATGCCCAAATCTTGCGCCAGTGCCTTGTGCGCACACGGTGATAGCCGAGTTGTAGATGATGGTGTTTTGAAGAGATCTACCTATGAAGCAGATCCAGAATCAGGACAGTGAAACATTTCAAGCGGGGAAACATCTGCATGCTTGGGGATTGAGAAAAAAACTGGGGCCCCCATGTGAATACCAAAAATTTGACTCCATGACCAATTCGAATGTCTGACCATTTGCAGGTTGCATAAGTTCATATCCCAAGGGGACCATCGAGATATTCTACAGCTGACGGTGAATTTTACCAAAAGTAGCGTCAAGGCTCTAGGTAAAGCCCAAGAATCGGAATCATCAGATGTCATATCCGCAGCAATGCCACTGATTCTGCCAGTGATCAGAATATGCATGGTAACACGTAATGATACAAATATAAAACATGTTCTGATCATTGGATATTACGTTTCAATATGCCATGAACCACAAATAAAACTATACCATCCAGTTATTACATATGGCAACATGTTCTTACCCGAAGGATGGCATGTTTTTTTCAGTACCCAAATCCACATCGCCCACCTGCGGGTTCCCGTTTCCGGCAAGATGGTGCACTCCGTTTCCGGCTAGCTGGGGAACTATCTGTTTATGGTGATGTCCCTTCTTCAAAACGTAGACATGTTGAATCAAAAAACTGGGGTCTGTCTGAGAATGAAGTAGCCCAACAGAAAATAAAGTGTTTATGGAATGATCATGTTTCCTATCAAATGGCCATTTAGAGGGGGTCACCCAATTTTTCAGAACAATCCTGATGTCATATTGTTGGTCGATGTTGGTCGATGTTCTTCCCATTTGTTCCTCCATGTAAATCCCATTTCTATCCATTTCTGAACACACGCGCACACACACAGAAATCATATGAAGTCATCATACTGCTGGTGACATCCGCGATGATATAATCCCCACGATATTCCCATCCAATTCAGAGCCAACGATCATGTTATTTTTGGATATTTTTGGTATTTCTGATTCTAAATTTATAACATATTCCCATGACCTTCCCAATATAGCAACCCCGACCCAGGGTCGATGCTGAAAAAACGGCAAAAAAAAACAAACTATTCGGGTGACATCACCATGGTGTTTTTCCCATCATAATACAAGATGTTCGTACCATGGTTAATACCAGGGTTGTATAACATACTATGGTTCATACTATGGTTCATGGTCCATGCTATGGTTACAGTAATACTGTGGTTAATATTATGGTTGGGACTATGATACTATGGTTGATACTATGGTCAATATATGTCAATATTATGGTTAATACAATGGTTATTCCAATTCCTATGATTCATATTATGTTTTTTACTGGGTATGTTCGGCATCCACCTGGCTGGTTGCCAACAATCCGCCTGGCATCAATTCCAAGGCTGCAGGCCACTGGCCTGTCAAGGATGGATTGAAAGGGGAACATGTTATGAAACATAGCAAATACATCATGAATCATGAATCATGATCAACATAATCATAATCATAGTCATCATAATAAACATCAACATAATCATACTCATAATCAGAGTCATCATCCTCATCATCATCATCGTCGTCGTCGCCGCCGTCGTCGTCGTCGTCATCGTCATCATAATCATCATTATTATTATCATCATCATCATCATCATCCTCAACCTCATCCAAATCGTCATCGTCGTCATCGTCATCGTCATCGTCATCATCATCATCATCATCATCCCCATCATCGGCGCCAGTGTCGTCGTCGTCGTCGTCGTCGTCGTCGTCGTCGTCGTCGTCGTCGTCGTCGTCGTCGTCGTCGTCGTCGTCGTCGTCATCGGCATGGTCATCGTCATCGTCATCATCGCCGTCGTCATCGTCATCATCATCATCTTGTTTATTATCATCATCATAATCATCATCATCATCATCATCAGAATCATCATCATCATCATCATCATCGTCATCATCATCATCATCATCCTCATCATCGTCGCCAAGGTCGTTATCATCAGCATCGTCGTTATCATGGTCATCCTCATCCTCATGCTGTATGTGTATGTATATATATATATGTTAACCCAATGTGTTGGGAACCTATAGATGGCGCAAATATCCCCTTCGTTCAGGTGATCTATAGATGGCGAATTTCAATCATTAGCGCCATCCACTATCAAAATGGAGTATACATATATATATATATCAAAATGGATCCGTCATCATCCTCATCCTCATCCTGTATATATATATATATATATATGTGATATGATATGATTGCGATGCTTCAAGGCGAAAAACCAATGGACACCGTCGCCTTTTCGTGGCCCCCTGCGCCTGGCACCATCTTCAAGGCTTGGAGGACGGCGCCGATCGTGGCGCTGCTCCGGCGAAAATTGGACACCTGGGGGATCCAAAAAAATTGGGGAATTTCACCACGAAAAAATGGGTAGAAGATGGGTATAAGATGGGTATAGCCCCATAATGCCCCATACTTAGCTAAGTTGACTTCTAACTTGATGAAGTAGGGTTGATAGAGGAGATATAACTAGAGTTGGATGGGGTTATAAACCAACTGATAGCTAGGGGGGCCCTTCCTGTACAATCTGGGATTCAAACCCCGCCCAAAGCAATGGAAAGCAATGGGAGTGATACCAGATATGGGTTCGTTGGTCCAATGGGATTGAATTCCAATAAATGTGTAGGGGATATGGTATTTCATGGTGATATTTGATGGGAATATCGTAGGAGATAAACCAACAATATGATATTTGGCTTTATCCAAAAATGGGGTACACCCCAGACAATGGCAATGTGTATGTTGGGAAAATGATGATCAACAATTGGGTCTAGAGGATACACTATTTTCAGACAAAACCACCTCGCAATTTTCCAACCCATAGGTTTCCGGCAGTTTTTGTGTCATTTGTTTGAATAATGGAATGCAACTCGTACAATAGCAAAACCTGCTCCCCTCTGCTCCTGATACTCTGTGGATATCTCTGGCCATGGAAACCGCATGGAATATCCAAAATCATAGGTGATGTTCTTCTTAACCCATGGGATGATTTCCCATCCAACAAAAATCAGAAAATTACCTTGTTCTTTCTCATCCCCCAAAAAAATCTCTATCCGCTATGCAAATGATGTTCCAGATGATTCTGAATTGAGACCCATTCGTTTGAAACGACAAAACCATATTTTTTGCGCCATCCAAAATTAAAATGTTAAAACTCCTTGGATGGAACATCATCCTTTTCCATGTACCCTCTGGTAATATAACATAGCTATAGAAAATAACTATTTTTAATAGGTAAACCATCTTTTTCTATGGGCCATGGCTTCCATAGCTATGTTTGTTCACCAGAGGGTAAATCACCATTAAACACCATCAAATCACCATTAATCACCATTAATCACCATTGTTTTCTCCCATAAAAAACACATTCAATCGCCGTATCTTCGCCTCCATATCCTCCAGCAGCTGTAAGGCCCAATTCCAGGCCGCGTCCACGCAGCTGACGCAGCTGTTGTAGATCACCAAGTTGCTACGCACCTCGCGGGACGTTTGGAAAAAAAGCTGGAAGTGGTTGAGATGGAGACTTCTGGACAGTCGAATTTTATGAATTATAATTTATAATATATACACATATATACATATTATATATATATACATATTATGTGTATGTATATATATATATTTGTTGGTGGCCTCTGTGGGCTGAAGTGGAGGCGTGAGATATGTTGCGATAGAGATTCTCGGATGATTCGTAGATCATTAGATCAACCTCGCGAAACCAGTGGTTTCAACCACAAAAAATGATCAAGTGGTTGGTGGTTGACCTACCCCTTTGAAAAATGATGGACTTCGTCAGTTGGGATGATGACTCCATTCCCAACTGTTTTTGGAAAGTCATAAAATTCCATGGTTCCAGTCACCACCAACCAGTCAACCACAACCGGGGTTCAAACGTTCAAACTCTCCAGGTGGTCTCCTGGATCCATGGTACCCGGTTGTTGTTCTGGATGTTCATCCACCCGTCATCGTCCCATGGGCGTTTACCGAATTGACCCAGAAAACCTGCGCATTTCCATACGAGAAGCGTAAACAAAGATTGGATTTAATGATTTCCCAATTCAATTTTTGAATATTCATATCTATTCATCTTATATGTATATGGCCGGATTTTTTGGCCCCAAAAGTTCATCCTCGAAAACTCCTTGTTTGCATCTCAATAAACATCAGGTAATCATCAACAAATCATCGAAAATCATCAAACAATCATCAACACCCTCAATCGAAAATCACAAAAAAAATCATCGAACATCCTCAAAAATCATCGAACATCATCCAAAAATCATCCAAACATCGAACATCCAACAGGTGTTGCGGCCAGTGCTGCGGCCTGTTTGGATCCCATAGACTTCATCAGCAGCATGGCCTGCGGCCATGGGCCGCCAATGGCAGAGCCATAGGAGGTCACCGTGCAGCCGCAACTGGAGAGTAGGCGGTCAAAGAGCCTGGTGATGGTGATACAATGGGTGGAAGAAGTCCACCAGATAGGTAGTTTATCCCACGATTTATAGGGTTTCAACATGTTTCAACCATCCAAGGTGCAGGATTTCGCAACCATCCACAGTATGTAATGATGGTGATCACTTTCCCAAGAAAAAAATGAAAGGTGAGGGGTTTTTTTTCAGCAAACAACTAAGATTTGCCCCACTCATCTGGTTTTTGATTGGTTATAAGATACTATAAGTATCTGGGTAAATTATAATATTTCACTAACCTGAATAGTGCGGCCATTTGGGGATGATTTCCCTTACTAACCATGATTCCAGTGAGGGAGAACAGTGAGGTCGCTATAATTTACCCAGAAGTATACTGTATGTCTATGAGATATCGCAGCATGGCAACTACGGAGATCACCCAAAAAAACACTGACAGCCCGAGTTTCGGAGACATCCTGACCACAAAAAGTACTAAAGGCTACTCGGCGGTGCAGTTGGGGTGATTTGTATGGGAATAAAAAAACCATGGTGATGTCACCCCCATAAGTTGGAAAATATATGAAAATATGGGGCCCCAGGTAGGATCGGATACTGACCCTGAAGGCGTCTGAAAAAAAACGGCTGGTGAGACTGGACAAAGCCAAACTTGTTGCGACATACCCACAACGCACATCAAATGGAATATGATCGCAGACCTTCTCAGCAAAAACTTGACCCTTTTAGAGGTCTTGTCTAGCAAGTAGACTCCCTTAAGTCTGACCAATCTGTGCAAAGCCCTGGCCGTTTGGAGGTCTCAACATGTCTGGGGGATCATCAGCGAAGATCTGTTACGATGTCAAATAGAAATACCATCCCATCCCCT